ATCATTAAATTTGTAATATGCAAATTCGTGATTCAAACAATTAAGATAAAATTTAATTAATTTAAATTGAATTTGATTTGATAAAATAAATCAAATAAACTTAATTAATTTGATTTAAATTATCAATTTTATTGAATTGTTCAAATTGAGAAACACACCTGATATTTGAATTGATATTTTGAAACTCAAAAGATAGCATATAAAATGTATATTGAAAAAGAATGTTGTTTCGGGAAGTGTAATCACAACACCTCACTTCCTTATCTCATCATTTCATATTTGTTTTCATTGATACTTAAAAAAAACACAAAAAAATATTGTTTAAACTTTATTTTGCATATCATTGAAACTAAATGAAAAATTATCCATTTATCATTTAAAATATTCATTCTATGAAATAACTTGTGATTATATTATCGAATTTTATACAAGTCTTTGTAGAGATGCTTCACTGATTAATTATTGAATACTTAACAAATTGGTATATTTATCTCAGAGTTAACTATATAATAAAATATTTCCATATACTCTAAATTTGTTAACATACTTTGCAATATAAAAAATTATTATTCATTTTCCAAATACACTAACAATAGTTAGCCATAGAATAAATAGGATAGCATCATGTTAGTAAGGTTGAAAAGAGTTTGCAAGCTCCTTATTGTTTAAACATTATAAAGTGACTTTCAGTTTATCAATAAAAAGCATTTTAATATAAATTTATAACTAAGATTATGATAAACTCACGTCTCTGAATTTCATTTATTATCATTTTACAGGAAGCAATTGAGCCTTGGCAGTGTTGTCTTAGGTAAGGTAGGAAAGAGATTTACTGTGATAGTTTCACTGTCGCTCTCATCGTTACTGTTAATCTGATGGTGCAGTACCAGCAATAAGTCGTGCAACAATCCCAACAACCCAACCCACCCATTTTATACTGAAAAACAATTATAGTATAAATTGTGAAGGTAAATCATAAACGTAACGCAGATGATAACAAGTGATTTTAGGGTATTGATTGAAAAAAGTACTACCATATGATTTTTATAAATAATAATATTAATTCTGTAACTACGAGATGCGAAAGGGAATGAATACCCACTGCACAATTAACATCGCTATCGAAGGAGTGAGAGAAGAAAGTGTAACACCAGCGATCATGTTTGTGTTACCATGACATGTGCATCACACGTATGCCCATCAATGTGGGGACTAATCTTCCTCTTACATAATTTGGAACCAGTAATCATCACCTCCTTTAATTGTTTAAATAATGATAGTGCTCAATATTTTTTCAGAACATAAAAAAAAATGATGGAAATAAATTAATCAGGGAAGGGTTTCAAGTACTCCAAGTCATCGTCCACTTAAGATATGTAATAGTATTGACTGTTTTCACAACCGTGGCAAAAAAATTAAAATAAATCAGTATTTACATTATAGGTTACTTTTGAGGTTACTATGTTTGAGGTTACTTTTGATGTCGGTTTAAATGAAAATCAGTATTTACATTATAGGTTCATTACCACTGGCATCTGAAACAAGCTAGGGAAATTTACTCAGTTATAATGAAAGTCTTAAATTCTATGGGCAGGGTGAAAAATAAAATGGGTGGCATTGCAGAGGAGGGTTCCACAATAATGTTTACCTTTAAGCAGCTGAACAACTTTAAATAAATGCATTGATTAAACTCACCACAAAGAATGGTTAATTATGGTCAAAATTGTGTGCATTTCGAAGCAATGTTGAGGGAAAATAAAAGCTGTTTGTTTATTCCTTACTATGGGATTTGGTGGGGAACCCACTTTCATTGGCACATGATGATGATGAGGCGGGAAAAACATTATTCCAAAGTCAAATTTTGTCACCAGAAATTGTTAACTATAGCCATTATCGATATATAGGTATTTAAGTTTAGTTAATTGGAAAATATATTGATTTGAAGCATGATTAAGATATATTTACTTTTAAAAGATATGGTTACACATTACTTATTGATTTTAAATAGTACCTAAACGTACCAAAGTATATCTTTTTTTAGCTTGTTAGGAGGAATAATTTTGGTTACTCTTTAAGAAGCAAAAAAGTGAGTGAATGGGGTAAAAATAAAATTATCTTTGCTCAAACAACCAGAAAATCACAAAGAAACTAGTACTTTATTGATTATCTCAGCCTACTCTAACATACACCATTAATATTTAGGATTTTTAAATAAGTGAATCATTCATACACTGTTAATATAAAAGTTTTTATATTGGCAACCAATCAAAATTTTTAAATTATTTTATTTTATTTTTATTTTATTAAATAAGCAACTGACATAATATTATTAAAAAATATAATTAATTGCTCGTATAAAAAAAAATTTACACGGATAATATATAGGTAATTAACTTTTTTTTCAATTCAATGGGATTTCTTTAGAGAGACCTGGTACGTTTTGAATGTTAGTGAATGTTTCATTAGAAAGCATCAATTATGCTATTATAAGGGTGTCTATTACAGTTGAATAATTATGAACTCCTTGTGCTCTCTGGCAGAGAAGTCTTTTTCATGATATAGAATGACTCTATTGCCCAGGTTTCAGTGAAATTTATTGCAAGGGCATACACAAGATAACTACATTTGATGGCTGCACTTATGGCTTTTCAGAAGTGGACAAGGGTTCAATCCACTTTTCTTGCCAACACAAACAATTCTAGCCCGAAAACTAGATAAGTGTTGATGATGACATGAATATTACTTACCATACAGTTTACTCATTTTTCCTAGCAATTGAAGTCTACCCTTATTCAGAAGTATATATATAATTTATTTATTTTTAAGAAAAAGCATGTCATAATATTTTCCTGTTTATTATTTTTAGTTAATTTTTTTAATTGAATAAACAGAACAAATCCAACAAAGGGATTTGTGTTTTATTGGAGGACGGCTTAATTTTTCAGATTAGATTATCCATTAGAAACTTTTGTTCTAGCATATATCTTGCTACCAGGTCAAAGTCAAACTATTATTTTTAGAAAATAAATTAAAATAAGTTAAGTAAGGCTTATATATATATATATATATATA